TATATTTCAAAATACTGCTGCTGGTTTATAAAGCTTTGAATGGTTTAGGCCCAAAATACATTTCTGACCTACTGCTAAATTATGAACCATCCAGATCTCTCAGGTCTTCAGGGACTGGTCAGCTTTCTGTCCCAGAGTCAGAACTAAACATGGAGAAGCAGCATTCAGTTATTATGCTCCAAATATCTGGAACAAACTCCCAGAAACCTGCAGGTCCGCTGCAACTGCGATATATATCAAATGCACCCTATAGGACTCATCATTGCAAACTGTATAGCCTAACTGGATGGTCCTCACTTACTATGCGTAGGATGCAACATTGGTTTTTATTAATGTATAAAGCCATTTTAGCCATCTCAGAACCAGTGCCTGGATACGGTTCCAGGTACCTGCCGTGCGGACTGAGGGTGGAAAAAGGAGTCTTTTCCATGATGGTCCTTGGTCTTGGAATGACCTTCAATCAAGCCTCAAACTGAGGGCACTTGTCCCAATAGCCTCTTTTAAATTGAAGTTGTCTGAGGTCCTTACCACCAGCTGCTCTTGCAGTAATAAGTAGTACCTTTCTTACTGTCCCAAATGTGCACAATGTAGTAACTGCTTTTTCGTCTTTTGTTTTCTTAGTTGTGTTCTCTGTATTTTATATGTCTGTGTTATGTGTAACATTGCTGCCTTCTTGGCCAGGTCAGCATTGTACATTTTATAATGTGTTTCTTAATGCTCTTAATGTCTTTCATTTTTGTAAAGCACTTTGAATTGCCTTGTGTTGAAAGGTGCTATATAAATAAACGTGCCTTGCCTTAAGACAACTGGGTACTAATGATGTTTCAAAACAAGTGAAGCAAGAAACCTGCACTGTTTTTTAGCTAATGCTTGACATACAGGTGTTATAACATCTGTGTTAGGCTCAACCTTTTTACATGCAGTCCTTAACTGTCTGTGTTCAAAGAAAGGGCATTTATTATTTTCTCTGTTTCTCAGGAAAAGAAAGCATATGTGTGGTTTCTCTGATTCATGTTGGGTCGTTTATGAAGCAACTCACTTTTTACTTTGTCTTTACTCAGAAACGCATGTTAGGTTTCAGTCTGACAGTTTGTTGATTTGAAGCTGCGTGTCGTTGCCCACTTCCTTTTCCGTCCGTGTAGTATCTGACGGTAAAACACACCACAGAGCCTCTACTCTACAGAGCACCTACTGCTTAATTATAGGGAAATATATTAATAGATCAATGATAAATGCTTTTAAAATGATGTTATTTAGGTGTTTAAGCACTAAAAATATAAAAAGTATAATATACAGCCATGTAAAAGTACAAAAAAGACTGTATAACAGAGCCTTTGATTGGACTATTTGAATCATCATTTTAAAGCAGATAGAAAAAAGTTTGATTTCTCATCTTGTCTCAAACATCTAACAACGCTATAATTCCTGGTGGCCAGTAGATAAAAAAGAGTACGCAAGCCAGACACCGTACACTTCTGTGTGTGACAGAGTAATATTCTAGTTGTGCGTCGGTGCAGACTCTGTGGCTCTTGGCGGTCGAATCACAGCATGAACAAAACGGTCAGATTGTGTTTTATTTAGAGATTAGAGGCAGAGATGAGAGGAGCTGGAAACAACATCAAGGTCGTTTTGTCAAGAGCCACACACACACACACACGCACACACACACACACACACACACAAACCCCCCCCACACACACCCACACACACACACACACCCCCCACACCCACCCCCACACACACACACCCACCCACACACACACACACACACACACCCACACACACACACACACAACACACACACACACACACACACACACACACACACCCCCCCACACACACACACACACCCCCCACACCCACCCCCACCCCCACACACCCACCCACACACACACACACACACACACCCACACACACACACACACACACACCCACACACACACACCCCCCCCACACACACACACACACACTCACACACACACACACACACACACACATTCCCCGAACTATTTTGTATCAAACCGCCACGCCTAATGGGTCACTTCCTGTGCAGCAGTCAGACCAAAGACTCCCCTCTCTCTCTCTCTTTCGTTTTATCACCATGTCTGTGGGTGTGTCTGTGGAGGAACATCACAAGAGGCTCTGCACTGTATAACTTCACATTCACAGTAACAGAGAACATCACACACAGACAAGACAAATTCACCAAGAAGAAGAAACATGTTCTTAATATTGTGTGTTTTCTTCCATTCTACGGTTTTATATTGAAAGCCTTATGGTCTTAAAGAGGACCTATTATGATCCCTTTCTCGGCTATACATTTATTTTGTTTCCCTTCATTTTTCTCATACTGCCTGTGCTGCAGCTCCTCTTTTCACCCTCTGCCTGAAACCAGAGCCCAGTCTTCCCTCATTGGTTAGCTGGCCGGCTCTGTTGTGATTGGTCAACCGCTTAGAGATGTATGTCCTGCGAAAGGGAATGACGCCTCCATTGTTTACTTCAGGAACCAAGTGACATCACTATGTAACACTTGCGATTCTATTGGCTAGTGCTTCAACACATTGTACGTGACAGGCTAAGGGGCGGGACATCTCTAAGCCGTTGACCAATCACAACAGAGCTGACCAGCTAACCAATCAGAGCAGACTGGGCTCTGGTTTCAGACAGAGGGTGAAAAGAGGTGCTGCAGCTCTGATGTGAGAAAAATAAAGGGCTTTTTGAACTTTAAAGCATGGAGACATGTCCCAGTAGAGGCAAAAAATATATACATGACCCTGAAAATGAGCATAATGTGTCCTCTTTAAGGATTCCTGAAAGACTCCATAGCTGTAAACAATTGCATCTGTCTGTGTGTGTTTGTTCAATTAGTGTTTTGGATCCAAAATAAGCATCACAATGATCCCTCGTGTTTATACCAAGCACTGAGTTGTGACTTTGCTTCTGTTCTGCTTATTTGCTTAACTTTTATGACTCATTTTCATAGACTTTACATACATAAAGTACTTGTTGTGTGAGGGGTTGTATGTCCTCCCAGATCATGTTCCTCATATTAATGTGTTTACAATCCATCATAATATTGTCTTGCTGAACTTTTATACCATAATCATTTGGTCTTTTCGTTGCACACACCATCCATCACATGCCTGTCCTGGAGAGAGTTCCCTCCTCTGTTGCTCTTTGGGCCATTAAAGGAGTTTGTATTGAGTCTGGGGATAGAGAGAGTCATTTGCTGCAAAGACAGTGAAGCCTTATGAGGAAAATGTGTGGTTGGTGATATTAGGTCACATAAATAAAAAAGTATAAACCTTTGTGTATTTAAAAAAACAGTTATATAACACAAGAACTGCACTTTAGCTATTTTGTGTGTTTTTTATTATTTCTTCATGTGTATTTTCTCAATGTTTTATATATTTTCTCCAACTACAAGCACAGGTTAACTGCAATTACCCAATACAGTGCTTTTATTATAACATCTCCTTACAAGGATGTAGAGAAAATAAGAAATGCAAGGATTCAAGGCCCACAGTGCAATAGGCCTAACACATATATGTAGAAGAATGGTAAACATGTTCAAAGAAATTGCAGCAATTGAAAGACTGCAATATCACCTTAAAAAGCAGCAAACAGTATTTCTTCCTTTTTTAAGCGTTTTGATGTGCTTAGTTTATGGGAAAACATTAGATTAATTGACACTTTCATGTTTGGAAACTGTGAACTATAGAGATTAATTTGTGATAGAAGTGAGATTCGCACATCACTGCAGGCGTATAAGTTTGTAGTTTAACTCTGGTGAGAATTTTGTTGTTGAGATGCACGAGAAGTGTGTTTGTTCCTCATCTCATTTTACACGTGCTACATTTTATTTGATGACCTTGTTTTCCACGCAATAATCTAAAGAAAGGGAGCTCTGTGTCCTGGCCTGTACTGTATAGCATTTCTATTTTTGAAACAATTGTGTATCAGAGTGGAGAACAGAAAGACACGAAGAAAGATTAGCCAACAATTTGGAAAAGAAGACAAAAAAATAACAAATTTCTCCCATTAAAGTTATGAAAGAAAACATTGTGTGAAGGGAAAACATACTTCAGGGGTGAATCCTAAAGATGAAGACTGTCCTCAAAGCTGCCCTCTCATTTGCTTTCGTGATCATTATCTCTCTCTGATGTGGATCCACAAACCCAAATTCCAGCTGGGCTATATTTGTCCTCTGAGGGCTTGAAAAAAGGCATGCTGGGAAATGTGGAAAAGAGTCATTGAAGCAGAGATAAATCAGAAATTACAAACACTTCCTCCAAAAAAAAAAAAAATCAGGAATGCCTGTACCCTTCACAGATAAGATCAACACTATATAATCAGTTACCTTCAAACACCCAAAGAAATGTTCCCAGTCTGCGTTTCTGTTCCTGACGAGACTGCAATTATATTATCTGAGGTCTTTACTGCCTGTCTGTCATAGAATTGACTTTAAAATGCTAATGTGTAAAGCACTGAATGGTTTAGTGCCAAAATCAGTCTGTCTTCAGTAAAACAGTGGTTGAAGAAGAATTCAAATCCTTACGTCACTGTAAAAATACTCCATTACAAGTAAAAGTGCTGCCATGAGAATAGTACTTTAGTAAATGCATTTATGATCAGGAGATTATACTAAAAGTATTAGGAGTAAACAATACTTGTTTGTGACATACATATTTTAAAATATCTGAGTATTTACAAGAAAATGCGGGAAATGTGACGTTATGGTTAGGATTCATATCTGAGAAAATGCACAGTGTCTCCATTAGATCTAGGGGCAAAACACTTCTGACGTCCTGCAGTAAACACAAACACACTCCCAGGTGAATGGAAATCATGACGAAAGTGCAAATGCTGCACTGAACAATCTATTCCTTGTACGCCCAGATAAAAACACAACATTGAACCTATCATAGCATCCCATGACATTTGTCTGTAGGGCGGTGGCCAAGTTTGTCTGAGTCTTATATTTAGGTTGCCATCAGCCTCTCATTCACAGCAGTAACAGAGGTGGTTTGAGGAACCGTAATGAGCAGGGCTTGTTGACGAGAGGGTGGAGTATCCCTCTGGAAAACAAACAGGTTGTGAAGTGGTGCTGTGTGAGGAAGAGGGAGGCTAGCAGACGAGAGCCTCTCCACGTCTGGGTCTTCCTGTCGAGGGTTAATCGAGTCTGTCTGGGCCCACATGGGTTTCTTAAAAGCAGGCACTTCACGGTGAGTGAGTCCACCTACTTATGTTTCTGTCTAATCATATGCAACTTGTGTATGTGAGGTGAGGTGAGGTGAGGTGAGGTGCGTTGAAGGGGATTTCCTCCTTGACACTTACTCTGCTTCACGGATACGTTGTGGTTCTCTGGAACAGCTATGACGTTTGAAAGACTCAGTGACAAGTTTCCTTTCACTTTGCACTAAATGACCTTTAGTGAGTTTTTCCCACACAGAGAATAATGAGAGCATTGTATGTGAGAAGTTTGATAATCTGTTCATAACAAGAACAAGCTCTGCAGTTAAATAACATTTCTGTTTAAAGGCCTAAATCTACAGTGGCCGACAGGTGCAAACGGGCTACAATATTCCCAAAACACTTACATTAGGAGAACCGGGCTTCAGTTTAAAAAACACAAATGTGCCAAAACACATCTTTGTGTTCAACAACTTGAAGAAACATGCGCAGAGTTTACTAAAAGCTCTGCATACAGTACAGGAAAAGCTGCAAATGTAATACAATAATAATATATAATAATATAATTAAATGATATGTTGGATGTTCTACCAACAGTCCTAATTATTTGCCATGGAGAAAATAATAGTTGTAGCTAAAATCAAATAGTTGTGTGCTGCTATATCAATATTCTGAATATCATAATGAGAGACAGGAATATTGTAATATCAATCTGCATGCATCAGATCCAGAGTGATTCAGGATGAAATCACTGATGCTTCAGTCTGAACCCACAGAGAGGCAGAGCTGTGATGATGTTTACTCTGCCCCACTCTGAGGAACACTGCCACCATTCATCCAGCGCCAGCACACTGAAGGGCTGCTGGAAGACTGGACACACACACAAGTGCACAGTATATGGCAGTGTGTGTAGTCTTCTTACAGTTTATTTATTTATCAAGCAACCAAACTAATTGATTGATGCGCGGCGGTGAGTTTTCTGCACCTTTCCACAGAGTCTGAGTTGCGTTACTGACTGTGTGTGAGTCATGCTGGTCACCCTTCAGAGGTGCATGCTGGGATATGCATCCTGATCAGGGTTGGGCGGGTTACTTTAAAATGTTATTATTAATATGTAAAAACCTAGTAACCTAATCTGAGTATCACAAAATGCAACCTGATTACATGCTGTTACTTTTGCCTTAGAAGAAACAACAATAAGAACTTTTACTTAATTATGTAAGACAGCAGAACAATTTAACCTTAGAAAAGAAGAAACTAAGATATTAAGGATTACAAATGATCTTATATCAATGGGAAAACCTTTCATTAAGCTAAAATATTTTTTTTTGTTCTAATGTTGGTCCTTGGGCCACAATAATCAATAAGTGAAAATCTGATAATGTGACCTAGAGATGACCCTTTTCTACCAGTGACCCTCAACAGGTAGAGTCAACAGGTAACACACACACACACACACACACACACACACACACACACACACACACACACACACACACACACACACACACACACACACACACACACACACACAATGTGGCAGAAAAGTTGACAAGAGCGAGGTGTTCTGAGAACTACAGGAAGTCTAAAACAAGAGACACATGATGCCAGAAATTGCAACACAAGACGGGTAAAACCCTGCTGTAAAACCACTAAACACATTCTTTAAAATATCTCAACTTACAGTTAAAATGGATTTACTTCATGACCGATTCTCAAAATGATCATAACATCCCACATTTATGCACATACTGTAGTGATGAAATTAAAGGAAGTGTCATGTGATTTACTTCAAATAAACAAACGACTAAACTAACCTCTTGTTGCCTTACAGCTCTGGAAACAGAAGAGAAAAGTGCAGCAGCGCCACCTTGTGGACAGATGTGGTGTTACGTGAAATGAAAGGCTGAGATATCTTTTTGAATTTATGACATTGATGCCATGCGGATCATGAACACATAGGATTGATCTACGAAAGGAAGAGTTGATCCAATGTGACTGCTTTTAAGTGGGTGGTCCGGATACACTTATCTAAAGAGATTATTTTTGTGTTTGTACAATTATCTTGTTCTTTGTGCCGCTAAGATCCAAAAATAGCAAATCTAAAATTGCTGATATTGAAGGAAATCAAAAAAGTTGACCTTTTAAGCTTTGACACAATCCTCAGGGTAAAATCAAATACAAATGTAACTATATATTATACCAGCATTTCCATGGATTTTCCGCTATAGCAATGGTTCCTCACTTAAGGAACTTAACTCTTCTTGTTCTTCCTATTCTTGCAGGTCTTAGTGAGATGGAGGGAGGTGAAATGGAGGCAGACAGGAGACAGATGGGGAGAGGTGCTGTAACAGAAGGTGAGGACATGAAGACTTGTACTAATGTTAATGAGAAACTTAAGTAAACCAATTAACACACAGACGGCTACGATGTGTTTCCTCGCTCTGCAGCCTCGTCTATCAATCCCCCAAAATATTCCCTGCTGGAAGCTTTCCAATGAAGCCACTTGGGGAAAATAAGCAGTGCAAATGGACACTGATTGAAGTCACTTTGGATAAATGGGTCAGCTGATTGAAACATAATGTGACACTGATCAATAATAACGATGATCTGCTGCAGGACAGAGGTGAGCAGAGATCATTGTGATTACTGTAAAGGCTCTCCATCCTCCCTGCAACTGCTATAAACAAACACAAATCAGCCCCTTTAGAAGTGGCCATTCAGGTTTTGAGCTGCATTTACAGGCTTCCTGGAAACTATACTAATAAAAAGAATGCAATAATGGATGCATTAGTATATACATTATACACTTTTATGGGGGACATTCAGATTGTTTTTACATGCTGCTCTTATTTTTTAGCCACCAGCTGCCGCATGATATGAAATAAGGTTATTGTTCAACCCCTAAAGTGGGAGCTGCTGGTGTTAAAAAGTAATTAGTGATATATAACATGTATATTTATTATATGGAAGACTATATTCATATTTGCACAGTTAAAAACGTTGTTAGAACTTTAACTGAGAGGCATTTTCTCTGTCATTCAACTTTTTTACAAGCTTTTTTTTTGTAGCTTAATTCCTCCTTGGGTTGCTTTGATGCCGTTCAGCTTCTTCCAGCTTTAGTTGTTTTAGTCTTTTCATTACTTTACCCTCACTCCTGCTGACCTTCTTGCAAACAGCAGCAGGTGCAGCATGCCGTGTATCAGGCCTCAGTATTTAGGAAAGTTAATCTGTAAATCAGATTGGGTTCCTCTCCTCAGACAAATATCTGACTTTAAATCATGTCTTCAAGTGAAAATCCACCGCACCATATGGACCATCTGCCCCCCCCCCCCCCCCCGACGACGACTGTAAAATCACGACTCCTCCTGACGCTAAGCGGATAAAGCTTCAGTCTGTGCGTGTGTGTGTGCGTGTGCGTGTGTGTGTGTGTGTTGCTGAGGTTTTTTCTAATCTATTTTTGCGTCCTGCTCTATTTGTTTAGCAGGTCAGTGCAGAGCGAGGCCACCGAGGACACACTGCTCTGCTTCAGGCAGGTTGCGAGCTTTCTGTTTTTATTCTGTGAATAAGGAGAAAGAATGGCGGCGATGTTTCGATCATCCTCTCTGGAAAACACTAAAGAAATGTCTCTGTTCGAACGGGAAAAAGACAATTACTTTGTCACAGATGAGGACTGTCGCAGTGAGGTGAGGCTTTCAAAACTACATGATTACTTTAGTACATTTTTGAAAAACATCCTGCTAAAATGGAAAGCGCTACAAGACTTTTGCAAGATTTGTAGTTAAGCAAGCTCAAGATTCAAAAATACGTTATTGTTATTATACAGTATGTCCCAGCAGGCTCCTCTAACAATGCAACATTAATGTACATAGGACATAAAACAATAGAAATAGTGCGAGATTATAAGAAAATATAAGAGAATATTGCAAGTCAAAAATGTGCAAGTTAATGTAGAAATAAGTAAACTATATACTACAAAAAATAAAAACACAACGCTTGAATAAATACAATGAAGTGGAATGAAAAAACTGCTTATTGTAATAATACATATAAATGTGAGCTGTAAACGTATGAATAAACACATGAAGGTGTTCAGCTGATCAAATTGATTTTAACTATGATCTTAACAACTTTTTTCCTACATCAGTGAGTTTTATTGTAGGGCTTATGGGTTGGAGGCAAAATGGGATAGGTGCATGTTTAAGTTACGCTACAATACAGAACAGTTTTATAGTTGAAGGTATACTTTTTATATTATTGCAGTGGTTGAAAGTGATGCAGTATATCATATGTATTACAAGGCACTAGAGACCTTTGTCGTGCAGTTACAGAAATAAAATATGATTTGTTTGATTCTATTCATATCTATTGAAAAGAAAAGACGAGACAGACATCCCCTCGTTTGCTTCCTTTTGTTAACCCACATCCTCATCACAGGTCTCTTGCCTTTTGAGTTCTTTGAAATGCAACCGCACGTGTTGCATGAAATCAATGCAAACAGTGTGATGTAAAAACCCACTGTTTAATTACAGGTTGTCAGTTATTAAAGCTAGAGATTTTCTTTAGCCGTTTACGATTATTTAATACCCCTCCCATTATTAGTCAAGCCATATTCAAAGATGCTCCATTCTGCTTTTTTCAGTTCTCTCTTTCCTCTAGTGGGTCATTTAGCTTTTTGTGCATGTAAATGGTCTGCAAAGGCAAAAATCCCTGTGTTCCCTCCAGAGGGAGTTTCTCTCCCACACACTCCCCCCCTGCTTGAAACGCCTCCATTAGACTCCTTTGTTTACTTCTGTAACATAGTGACATCACTATTTAAAACATGGTTGACCAATCACAACAGAGCCGACCAGCTAATACTGATATACACCTGAACATCAGCAGGAGAGGACTCTTTAAAGTAGAGACACTATACTGATATACACCTGAACATCAGCAGGAGAGGACTCTTTAAAGTAGAGACACTACATACTGATATACACCTGAACATCAGCAGGAGAGGACTCTTTAAAGTAGAGACACTACATACTGATATACACCTGAACATCAGCAGGAGAGGACTCTTTAAAGTAGAGACACTACATACTGATATACACCTGAACATCAGCAGGAGAGGACTCTTTAAAGTAGAGACACTAGTACATACTGATATACACCTGAACATCAGCAGGAGAGGACTCTTTAAAGTAGAGACACTACATACTGATATACACCTGAACATCAGCAGGAGAGGACTCTTTAAAGTAGAGACACTACATACTGATATACACCTGAATATCAGCAGGAGAGGACTCTTTAAAGTAGAGACACTACATACTGATATACACCTGAACATCAGCAGGAGAGGACTCTTAGAGACACTACATACTGATATACTCCTGAACATCAGCAGGAGAGGACTCTTTAAAGTAGAGACACTACATACTGATGTACACCTGAACATCAACAGGAGAGGACTCTTTAAAGTAGAGACACTACATACTGATACACACCTGAACATCAGCAGGAGAGGACTCTTTAAAGTAGAGACACTACATACTGATATACACCTGAACATCAGCAGGAGAGGACTCTTTAAAGTAGAGACACTACATACTGGTGTACACCTGAACATCAGCAGGAGAGGACTCTTTAAAGTAGAGACACTACATACTGATACACACCTGAACATCAGCAGGAGAGGACTCTTTAAAGTAGAGACACTACATACTGATATACACCTGAACATCAGCAGGAGAGGATTCTTTAAAGTAGAGACACTACATACTGATATACACCTGAACATCAGCAGGAGAGGACTCTTTAAAGTAGAGACACTACATACTGATACACACCTGAACATCAACAGGAGAGGACTCTTTAAAGTAGAGACACTACATACTGATATACACCTGAACATCAGCAGGAGAGGACTCTTTAAAGTAGAGACACTTCATACTGATGTACACCTGAACATCAGCAGGAGAGGACTCTTTAAAGTAGAGACACTACATACTGATATACACCTGAACATCAGCAGGAGAGGACTCTTTAAAGTAGAGACACGACATACTGATATACACCTGAACATCAGCAGGAGAGGACTCTTTAAAGTAGAGACAATACATACTGATACACACCTGAACATCAGCAGGAGAGGACTCTTTAAAGTAGAGACACTACATACTGATATACACCTGAACATCAGCAGGAGAGGACTCTTTAAAGTAGAGACACTACATACTGATATACACCTGAACATCAGCAGGAGAGGACTCTTTAAAGTAGAGACACTACATACTGATATACACCGGAACATCAGCAGGAGAGGACTCTTTAAAGTAGAGACACTACATACTGATATACACCTGAACATCAGCAGGAGAGGACTCTTTAAAGTAGAGACACTACATACTGATATACACCTGAACATCAGCAGGAGAGGACTCTTTAAAGTAGAGACACTACATACTGATATACACCTGACCATCAGCAGGAGAGGACTCTTTAAAGTAGAGACACTACATACTGATATACACCTGAACATCAGCAGGAGAGGACTCTTAGAGACACTACATACTGATATACTCCTGAACATCAGCAGGAGAGAACTTTTTAAAGTAGAGACACTACATACTGATATACACCTGAACATCAGCAGGAGAGGACTCTTTAAAGTAGAGACACTACATACTGATATACACCTGAACATCAGCAGGAGAGGACTCTTTAAAGTAGAGACACTACATACTGATGTACACCTGAACATCAGCAGGAGAGGACTCTTAGAGACACTACATACTGATATACTCCTGAACATCAGCAGGAGAGAACTCTTTAAAGTAGAGACACTACATACTGATATACACCTGAACATCAGCAGGAGAGAACTCTTTAAAGTAGAGACACTACATACTGATATACACCTGAACATCAGCAGGAGAGGACTCTTTAAAGTAGAGACACTACATACTGATATGCACCTGAACAAGATATAAATAAGAAAACTCAATATTAAACAGTAAGGTTACAAAAAACAACAAGCAAACACCTTTACGTAAGTCAATACGTGGAAACACTAAATACATATATGAACCTGAAAATGACCAGAACATGTCTTCTTTATCAGTAAGTCTGTTATTTGATTATCCAAATTAGATGTTTACCACAGTGAAAATAAACATTTTCAACTCTAATTGGATGATTACACTAATTAATCCAACAGCAAAGTGTTAATACAGTACTGTTTATTGTTGAGATAACATCTGCAAAATGTCGACAACTTCCTCTTTTTGACTTATTTGTGGGGTGTCTCTGTGAGTTAGTACTTGTCCGCTGCGAGGGTCCAAGGACAGAAGGTTGCTGTTGTCACTGTAAAGCCCTCTGAGACTAATGTAAATATTGATCGATTGATTGTTTCTGACCTTTCAGGAGTTTGATCAGGATTCAGTGTGCAGCGAGGAGGGGAGAGGGGGCCGGAGCGTCCGCAGGTCTCTGTTTGTGGAGATCTACGGTCTGCAAAGGGAGCCGCACATCCACTTCTCAAACCAGGAGTACTACAAGAGGCTGGAGGAGCTGAAGAGCGCACACCTGAAGAACATGGCCGAGCTGGAGAGGATGTACATCGGCCAGCATAGGGAGAGTCCTGCAGAGGAGGAAGAGGATGGAGGAAGAACCAACAGAGAGGACAGACTGTCTATCAGGTTAGACCTTTTTGACTTTTTTAGTCACTTTGGCATTACACGGAAATGTAGCCATTGAGTTGATGTTATGTATAACTACAGAATTAAAAAAAAACTAACTTTTCAAACAAATATAGCCCATTTTAGACACATCCAGAAATATGTTTTCACCTGTTATTTACCAAGAATGATGCTTACTGTGCAGCTTTGTGTCCTGGCCTCAGAGAGGATTTGATATGGGTGGTAATTTCATTAGCAACATTTTAACCTATTGTTACCTGAAGGTGGCACTATTGAGTTGCAATACAGTCGTTGGTGAGCAGACACATCTAAACAGGCATCCATTTGATAATGTGTTTATTAATCCTCCATTTTATGTAATGAGTGTGTTTTTAAGGTCAAAGGTCAAGATGGTGACTCGGCATCAAACACAAAAAATGTACCTATAAAACCTATTTAACAATGTTCAATCTAACACTTTAGAATAGAATAGGGAGGGATGAAACCCTCTTTAATGGTCACACATGCAGAGCACACAGCACACACAGTGAAATTTGGCCTCTGCTTTTAACCCATCCTAGTACAAGGAGTCTAGTACTAGGAGCAGTGGGCAGCTATTGTACAGCGCCCGGGGAGCAATGGGAGTGGGGGGGAAGGGGGGTGTCCGGTGCCTTGCTCAAGGGCACCACGGCAGGGCAGGAGGTGAACTGGGACCTCTCCAAGTAGAAGTCCACACTCCATATTTAGGTCTGGTCGGGGACTTGAACCAGCGACCCTACGGCTCCCAGTCCAAGCCCCTACTGACTGAGCCACTGCCGGACATATATATATATATATATTTAGTACATATTTGATATTTTATTGATGTAATAGTACTTTTCAGGCAGTCTGACCTACAAACAAATGTAGGTCAGACTGCACGAGACTTTGTTTAGGAAGTTATTTTGGAGTCAAGTGGCAGGAGAATTAATGCCTCCTCCTTCCTGATATTCAAGCAGTGGCCCTGTCAGGAAACTCCAGAGGATCAATTCCCAGGAGGAGCTGGACTTCCACGACTCATCGAGTGGTTCGGACCAATCAGAGCTTTACGGAGCGAGCAGCACGGGGGATCTGGAGCTGGAAAATCCCAGAACAGCTGGCCAGGGCCGAACCTTTGAGAGGTTGGTGAAGCAGACGCAGAAAAATCCTCAAATCTGGGGATTCTTAGGGGGAAAACGTAGATTTAGTCCAGTTGCCAGCTCATAGTCCTGTTGAGTACCCCAAAGTTTTATGTAAGAAATGCATAGTCTGGGTCCCCGGCATTAGAAACTGCAGAATGTTAACTTGCATAATGGTTTAGTTATTTAGCATTAATAACCACTATATTAGTAAAAAACTATATGGCAAAAAAATGTCTTGGCCAACTTGACAATATTGGAGAGATTTTGTGGTTAATTGATGATGCTGTATGCATTTCGGACCTTTTAAGGATTGTGAATGGCAGTTTTAACTAGAAAGTGGCCATATATCAACTCCTGGTAGGCTGATTTTGATTGAAGTTTATAAGGACACTTGATCGACTGGATTACCCATCCTCAATAACCCTAAAATCACTTGAATATTGTCCAAATCGGCCAAGACATTTTGAACTTAATTGTGCAAATTGCCCAACATATGCAAGTTAGCATCCGGCAGTTTCTATGTGCTGTGGACCCATACTAAACATTTCTCACATAACACTTTGGTGTACTCAACATTTTGGGGTTTATAAAGCGGGCCAGAAGACCAATAAGAAGATTTGTACTTGTTTATGTTGGTTTTTTTCTGTGTTAAGATTTCCAGATTGATTGCGAGCATTAACCCGTTAACATTGATAGCTTTATTTAAAAGATAAGATAAGATAGTACTAGAAGGGGTGGAAAGTAAATCCTTTCAGTCTTCTGGTTGATACTTTGCTGTCATTTTAGATACATTATCACATTTCACTCTCTTCTCTCTTCTCCCAGAGACTTCCTACTGAGCCCAGAAGAAATGACGACCCAGAAGCAGTTTCGGTTTAAGCCCTCCTGTCTGAAACCAAAGGGGAGAATTTCACGTCCAACCGGGGTCAGGGTCAGGTCCAACTTCAACGTCACCGTGCCCAAACCCTTCCAGATGATGCTGAGAGAGGAGGAGAGGAAGAGGCACAAGGTGCGCACTCGCTCAGAGATCCAGCTGGAGAACACTTTGCTGAAACGGGAGCTTGAGGAGCTCCAAGAGTGCCAGAAAAAGTTCAGGGCGTCACCAGCACCGGCGCACATCCATCAGCCGTTCTACGAAGTGATCAGCCGTCGCCTCAGCCAGCGATCCACCCGCAGCAAAGGAAGCAGAAAGATCACGAACAGGAACCAGATCATTGCCGATGCTTCTCCACAGCCTTTCCATTTCCTGGAGAGGGAGAGGATGAAGAGGGAGGCGAAGATTGTTGCAGAGCTGGGGAACCTGGGGCTGAAAGAGGAACGACAGGCCTTTAAGGCGAGACCCATGCCCAGCTCGGTGTATGGAAGCAAACACAAGGCGAACATCAAGACCACAAGCCACCAGTTTACAGACATCTGCACACATCTGCACACGGAGGGTCAAAGGGACCCAAACTCTGACGCCTCTCCTGACTCCTGTAAGCCTCAGACATGGCCGTCCTCCAAGCCAGTGAAGAAGCAGATAGAGGTTTCCATTGAGATGGTGAAAGGAGAGGGAGTGGTGTCAGATTGACTCGCTTAAAGCCAAAAACATGTAGTGACCTCTGCAGCCAGGGACGGCTGAGCGCGTTAGGACGGACTGTATCACTATCAGAGACTGTGTTCATAAATATAAGACACACAAGGGAAGAAACAAAGAGCTACGTCCAAATAGTTTTTTGTAGATTAGTTTAAGTCTATAACAAAAAAGGTGTTGTCTTCATAAGATATATCTTGGTAAGCTCTTTACTTTGACGGATGGATGTGTTGGGGGGGGGGCAGGTCTCTTCTGCACATAGTGGGCATTATACGTTTTTATTTATTTTGCATGTTGTAGCTGACAAAGTGGAATGACACAATGCACTATTTCCCTAAAGATGGGAGCAATTATTATTGTCTTCTTCTTCTTCTTCTTTCTGTGTATGTAAAATGTGTCAATGTAAAAATGTGTCATTAAAATTATGTACACTTTCCCCCTGATAAAATAAGTCACGTGGGCTCTTTTGTTGGTTATTTTTATGAACTGGTTCGCAATAAATCCTAACATGTAAACTGTTTAATTTATCATAAGTGTATCATGCTCCTCCTTGATCCTAAAACCCACCCATCCCTTTATGCATAATTACGCGCTGACTCGGCAGATTCAGACACAGACACAGACAATCATAACTCCACCTACTGGGACCGAAGCGGCTTCTCCTCTCTGCTATGTACAGTCGGCAGTAGGCTACATCCTCGTATCGGCATCGGTCTCCACTCTTCTTCAAGAGTAAGTGGAAATAAATGCGTGGCTTCACTTGCTTTTCAATTTAGCAAACATCTGGGTATATCCTCACGGTTGATGGCACTTGTTTTAAGTAGTTTTGGGTTTTAAAAATTCGGATAACTGAAATGCAATGTAATTAGTAGTATCTTAGGGAACAATGAAACATAGCTTAGAGGTCCTGGTTTTTTAATAGTCTGTTACTGTAGCTACTTGTGGGTAAGGGTGCGGTCACCGCTCGTAACTTTAAGGGGGGTCGATTTATCGTAAAGCACCTGACACATGATGCTGCTGCTGGATAACAAGTATTGCGTTTGTTATTTTCAGAGAAGCGCAGCAACGTGGGGATGACCATGCAGATCGTGCACCTGTTGATTGTCTCCACATGTAAGTATCTAAACGTTTTTTACTTGCATCGGTATTTCTACACCACCGGGCTTTATAAACGACCACATGGTAAACGCTCGTATAACTGTAGGCTACGCATCTGCCCTTAAGTGACAGCTCCTAGCCTATACCGTAATGATTACAACGTTGTAGGGGTGCTCGTCTCTTATTTACTTGCTTATCGACATGTTTAAAGTAGTTTTCTGCCGGTTCTGCTGGCACGTGTAGTCAGTTTGCTTTGGAATCTTGCTTGGGAATCCCTACGCTGCAACCCAGCTACCCTCACATGAACAGGTGTTATGCCGTAGAAGATTGAAGCCTTGCCGTAGATTGAAGCCCTGTCCGCGGGGACGCGCACAGGTGACGTCATCGCCTGTATTGAGTTTCGCCGAGTTTTCAAAGCTTTTTTCTCTCTTTTGAATGATATATTTCACATCAGATTAAACAGCAAACGGCTGAATAAATAATGTGCATACAATTGCAAGGTTGCTCGTTTTAAGGAAAGGCAATGAAAGGATAAGATGTCATTTGTCAGTATAGTCCTATTTCCAGCGACGTGCAGTCAGTGGAGGCAGGGGAGGCAGAGCCTCACCTGTCATACTCCAATGTAACGGAAAAACAATTAAAGAAAAACTAAATAATAATAATAATAAAATGTCTCCACTGATCTTGTGTAAATGTGATTTCTGTATGATTCCAATCGCATTTTATAGTCAAAATCAGCAAATTTGCCGAGCTCCGCTACGTGAGCGATGAGAAGTGAGGCAGGCACGAGCTCTGCCTCTCGTAAGCCCACAGTAACTTGCTGGAGCGCGGGTGTAGGTACCATATGTGTTCGGCCTACCAGATGTGTTCGGGGTCCGTTACGCTTACCAATGACGTCACGCATTGGCTGTACGGTAACCCAAGAGGACATTTTACACGGTCAAATTCCGAATGTATTGAAACTCCAGACTCAACGTAAGAGCTTGAGCCTCTTCGGGGGGTGCTAACATTTAAATATACACTTCATTCTTTACTTTGTCCGTTATTATATGTAGAAGATATTACTTTTTTCTCCGTCATGTTGTTTCCATAGCAACAACTTCAAAATAAAAGCATCTAAATAGATTTGTGTTCTACACACCAAAATACGTTATTTGAACACCCCTCTCGATCGATTTACAAGAAAAATTAGTATGGCCCGCCCTAATACACAAACGCAGTTTTTAAAGATATACATTTTTCAACACAGAATCATTTGCCAAATTACACCATATCCAATCATTTTACGAGTCAGAAAATGCTATCTGTTCATTGCAGTTATTGTTTATTGAATTAGATTACCATGAGCTCAACATAATTATGTAGAGTACAAGTCCACAGCCAAGAAAATGTTATTTGCATATCATTTTATTTATGAATATGGAATTATGGAATTCTAACACTGGAATTTGTTATTATTTACTATAACTTTATTATATTATTCGGGTACAGCCCTACTGTACCAAAATATCCGAATATTCGTTCGTTGGAGTACTATTCGGGTTTCAATTTCGTTATTCAGATATTCGTTTTTGTTTTTTTTCCCCGTTTTATTTTCAAATTGAATTTATTGAAATCTCCAATATCAACGTAAGAGCTTGTGCCTCTTCGGGGGGTGCTAACACTTAACCATAAACGTTGTCGTTTACTTTCTCCGTCTTTATATGTAGATATTACTTTTCTCCGTTAATCTCTGTCACGTTGTTTCCAAAACAACAACAACTTCCTGTCAACTGCGCTAACTCTCCTTCAAAATAAAAGCATGTCCATAAATAGGACATGCCAAATTACACTTAACACATAGCCTATACAACTGCAATGAATGTAACAAACACAATGCGATATCCTTTTCAATTTCAAAGAACACAAATTGGGTTACATTAACAAATAACTATAAAACAACAATACTGTAGAATAACAAAATGAATGCCGTGAATACACTGAAATACACTTCCCGCGGATCCCTGAAATACACGTGTTGAAGCGGTTCGCTGCTGATTACTACGATTCCGTACAGCCAATCACAATGGGTGACGTCATTGGTAATAGTGATGGGAATTATGGCTCTTTGAAGGGAGCCGGATCTTATGGCTCCGTTCCTTTCAAAGAGCCGTTCAAAAGAGCCGTTCAAAAGAGCCGTTTTTTTTAAGGTTACTAGGTTTATTTGCAAAATAATCACCAGGATAATGATTGACTGTATTGCCAGACCTAATGTCAATAATCGGCATTGTAAACATGACACAAGGTGGCGCCATATCCATGTCATCATGTCAGTGAATGTACTTTGAATTTACCCTCTGTATGTGTTAAGTAAATAAAGTTGCCTTGCCTTGAATGAAATTCATGCAACTCTTAATATTAGATACTGTGTTTTTAAGTGGCGATGGAGATTATTTGTTGATCCTGCTTTAAAGGATATTTTGCCTTTACAAATGGTGCGCTTTATCACTGCCTGGGTTTTGGTTGAAGTGAATCCAAATGCTGCTGCGTTTTCGCGTTTGGCTCATTTACCATCCGAAAAACACGTTGTCTACCTGTCCTGTACCACTTGTTATGACTTCTCTCTCTCGCGTATTCCGTTAAGACCCACCCCATCTCACTCCTCGTGCTGAAACCTACCAAACAGAGTAGGGGCGGATCTTCACAGAATACGTTTGGGGAACAAAATCAAGCTTTTTAAAAGGCGAGTGGATTTTGGCAGGCAGTGAGTGCGGACCAACGATTGAACGATAACAAGAACGGCTCTCACAAAGTAGGACTCGGTTCCCCTCGTTCGTACCAAAGAGCCGTTCAAAAGAATCGGCTCGTTCGCGACCGACACATCACTAATTGGTAAGCGACGGACCCCGAACACATATGGTAGGGCGAACACATATGGTACTGACACGGGCACTAATTTAGCGCGGCCACTTATTTTGTGAGCGCTCAAGCCATTTACTGTGGGCTGGGGGAGGCACAGATGAGATCTGCCTCACTTCAGAATGCGTCACCCCACAGAAACTGGCTGGAAAGCGAACCCTAAGCGCATGCCTGTTCCCATCTCACTGTAGGTCACCAATGTAATGTTTGTAGATCCCTTTATTACTTTTATCCTCACCATCCATAGTCTCTAAATAACTTATTTCACGTATATATGATATTTAGGCTCGCTACACATATACAACGGCAATGAAAAACTCACAAGGGGAGGCAGCCATAACCTCTGCCGCACTGAAGGGGGCGCACGTGAGCCCACAGGTTCTTGTTGCTACTGTTATTCTACCGCAAACAACAAACTCGACTTTTGAAACTACAGGAAGATAAGGACGACTTTTACAAAACAGTAATAGAGATTGTTGTCCAGAAGGATAGCATGGACTTCTATTCATCTTCAAGTCAAGGTAAGACCACAACTGTAATGAAAATGGGATCTTACTTAGAAAGAACAATCCAATATTTAGATTTTGGGTATCCTTTTGTTGATCGGTCTGTTTAAAATTAATCATAGCATCAGACTAAAAAAGCTTTTGAAAATAACAGAATATTTCGATTAAGGTCAAAATAGGCTATAATATTTGTAAATCTGACTCTGAAAGAGTCAGTGCCTCACCAGCCATGAACCTCACCGCACGTCACTGCCTATTTCTTAAAACCTTCGCTGTTGTTTAAGTGTCTGATACTTGATAACCACGAATAGTAAGCAATGATATAACAGTAATGATATAACATATATGATAATGTAAGACACTGTGTTATTTTCAATCAAGCCTAAAAGATAATTTGTTCAAACTAGCTCCACTCGCTTTAATTGCTCCTTTGAATGTAATTTTCCTCTGTGGTTTCCTACTCAACACATTTTTGTATTGTAATGCCACTCATATTTTATTTTTTATTTTATTTTACGGTGACATTGAATGTTTTGAAAGGTGCCCTAAAATAAAGTTTATTATTGATTAGTGCCTATATCACACTATTAATGTTCCTTATTTTAGACTAGGTTTTTCCTGGTGTCAATAGGGAAGATCTGCACTGTTCTCTACATAACATGTTCAGCAGAGCAGGTATTTCTCCTGCCAGATATGGCACCCCCCCTACAACTTTGTCCAGGACAGTCACACTGTCACCAAAATCACACTGGTGTTTGCTGTTCCCCTCTAGTTTGTGCTCGCAAAAGCATTTTACTCTGGGCCCAGCAGGTAAAAAACTAAAGAGGGGCTTCCAAATCCGGCAGCTACAACACCTGGTCTGACGGATTTGGAAGCCCCTCTTTAGTTTTTCACCTGCTGGGCCCAGAGTAAAATGCTTTTGGGGGCACAAACTAGAGGGG